CCAAACTGCTTTCCAGGAAGATTATACGAATTTGCCAGATTTGAATTTTTAGGGAAAAAAAAAATCTGTGCCAACTGGCGAGGTAAAACATACTGACTCATTGTTGTTTTATGTGCATTCCATTGATTACTGGTGAGGTTTCCGTTTGGTAAATTTGCACTTCTTCTTTTGTAAGCTGTCTATACTCTTTATCCATTTTTCTAGGGGTTGTTTAGTTTTCTAAATGTATAAGGCTTCGGATGACTATATAACCCTGTCCAAGCTTAATTTAATACGCATATAATCACCTGGAAATCTTGTTAAACTGTAGATTGTGACTCCATAGGTCTAGGGTGGGGCCTAAGATTGTATTTCTAACAAGCTCCTGGGTAATGCTCCATGGATTAACCATTGCTGTATAACAAGCCCTCCCAAAACCTAGCAGCTTAAAGCAACTGTTTTATTTGCTCATGCTTCCTCACGTCCCTCCTGGGGTCACTCATAGGGCTGCAGGCACCTGGCAGATTTACTGAGGCTTGATAGCTACGACAGCCTCATTCATAGGTGTAGGGGTTGATACTGGCTGTCATTTGGGCCTTTCTTTCCATGTGGCCACTCGTCTTCCAATAGTCTGGCCCTGGCTTCTTCATGTGGTAGACTCGGGGTTCCAAGAGGGTGAGAAAAGACACTGCAAAGGCTTTTGTGGCCCAGACTCAGAAGTCCCATAAAGTCATTCTGCTACAATCAAAGCATGTGTTAGTCTAACCCAGTCACTGGGTAAGAAAATAGACCCCACCTCGCCGGGCGCAGTGGCTCACGCCTATAATCCCAACACTTTGGGAGGCCGAGGCGGGCATATCATGAGGTCAGGAGATCGAAACCATCCTGGCTAACACGGTGAAACCCCGTCTCTACTAAAAAATACAAAAAAAATTAGCCGGCCGTGGTGGCGGGTGCCTGTAGTCCCAGCTACTCGGGAGGCTGAGCAGGAGAATGACGTGAACCCAGGAGGCAGAGCTTGCAGTTAGCCGAGATCGCGCCACTGCACTCCAGCCTGGGCGACACAGCGAGGCTCTGTCTCAAAAAATGAAAAAAAAGAAAATAGACCCCACCTCTTGATGAGAGGAGCAGCAGTCACCTTGCACAGAGGTGTGCATATAGGAATGGAATTGTTGCAGCCATTTTTGCTAACAGTGTACCTCAGATATCAATGCGCTAGTTCCTGGACCCCCATTTGAGTAGCAAAGATGGAAAGTGGCGGTTCTCTACCTTGGCTGCCCATTGGAATCACCCGGGAGCTTTAAAGACTACTGATGCCTGCCAGATCAAGATATGGTTGGTGTGGGCATCAGTAGCTTTTAAAGCTCTCAAGTGATTCCAATATGCAGCCCAAGTTGCAAGCCACTGTTTTATATTTTAATTTTTAATTTTTTTTTTTTTGAGACAGAGTCTCGTTCTGTCACCCAGGCTGGAGTGCAGTGGTGCGATCATAGCTCACTGTAACTAACCTCAAACTCCCAGGCTCAAGCAGTCTTCCTGCCTCAGCCTCCCAAGTAGCTAGGCCTACAGGCACACACCATCACACTTTGCTAATTTTATTTTTTTGTGTGTGTTTTTTTCCTGTAGAGACAAAATCTCACTATGTTGACCAGGCTGGGAGAGCCAGTGCTTTAGAAGTCTCTAGAATTATTCCTGTTTCAAGTGTTTGGGTTGATGGTGGTAAACACAAGGGTAGCTGGTTAGGGTAGGAAGAGTACTGATGGATTGTGTTAGGGAAGTGTTCAGGGACATCCAGGTGAAAGGGTCAGCAGATAACTCAGAGATGAGTCTAGAACTCCAAGAAGTTTGCACTGGACAAGAAGACTTGGGAGTTATGAATGAGCCAAATAGAGTTTAAGTTAGGGCTGCATGGAACTCACTCTGGAAAACCCTGAGGATGTGCATAGTAGGCTCTCAGCTCAGGGAATGGCTAAGTGAGTGCCTAGGAAGCAGGGACAGACAGGGTTTGGGGGGATGTGGAAGATGGCAGACACCCCCAGGTCAGTACTAGTGGCCAGAGAGATTCAGTCACTCAAGCAGCATTTTTGAGTGCCATCAATATGCCTGGCATGAGATTAAATAACCAGAGAGTTACCCCAAGGATCAGCTCTGAGAGCAAATAGCCAACATGTAGCACCATGAACGTCCTGGGAGAGACGTCTCAGCGCTCACAGCAGAAATATTTAAAAGCATGAACTGCCTGGGACTGGGGGCCACATGTACGGAAAACTCATCCCTTAGCCAGTTGTGCCTGACACATGGGTTGGGTAAGGGAAGAAAGCTGACAGTACTGGGCAGCTATGAGAAGCCAGGCACTGTGCTAGCTTTAAATGCATTTTCACTGAGCAAAGCCAGGAGGAGCGGCAGTGTGGGGTAGTGGTTAAGAGTGTAGCTCTGGCACCAGGTAGTCTGGGTTCAAATGATTTAACCTCTCTGAGCCCGTTTTCTCTTCTACACATCATTCCCGTGAAGGCCAAACAAATCCATCCACATTCAGCATCTGGAGCAGTCCCTGGCTTGAGGGAAGCTCCCAATCCTCACGTTCACTCCCTAAGGTGGGCAGTAGTATCCTGGTTTACAGATGAGAAGACCGATGCTGGAAAGGGTAAATGACCTGCTTGAGGGCCATGGCAGTTCAGGAATGGAGCCAGGATGTAAACCACAGGCTGTGTGTGGTTGTCTGACTCCCGCTGTCCCCTCTTCCCAGCAGGGAGTGGGGGCACAGGCCCCTCCACTCCTCCCAAGCACAGGTCATCCCAGCCAACACCCCACTTCCTTTCCAGGCTGCATCAACGATCGGAAAAAACAACTGAGGCAGCTCTTCTACTCCCTTCAAGTCCAGAAGAAAGCTTCCAGTTGATCCCCAGCTGCCAGGAGGAAATCAGCCTTAGCAGGTGCCACCCAGGCCTCCCCCGCACTCTCAGATCCCAGCACAGCACCTCAAAGCTCTCACCTCCCCACCTCCACCCTGGCACCAGCTTTGCTGGCTTAGCAGCTGCAGCTTACTACCTGAACTGGGCCGCTTGGATACCTCCAGCCCATCCCCAGGCATCTTTGCACCAGGAGACGCCAATCCCTAGGACTGGGGGGTGTTTTAACCTTGACAAACTGACTTGGCAATTAGGCCCAAAGAGAACAAATACAGCAAGTTCTGCTACCCCCAAGAGATCATATCTAATAAATGAGCACAGGCCCTACTTGGAGTCACTGGGCACCAGGCCTGGTTCAGGGGATACTGCTGGCTGCAGCCAAGTCCTCCTGGCTTTGACACTTGGATGCCTCCCAAGTCAGTGCTGAAAAGGTCCTTCAGGAGCAAGGGTTTGGAGGCTAAGGAACTTGTCTTTAAGCTGTGCTTACAAAGCAAGCCGTTATTAGATTGTATTTATTGGGGGTCTGGGGAAGTACTGAGCCCTAAACACATCCTCTTCTCCTTGTAATACCCTGACCCTGCATATGGGGAACCCATGGGGCTCCCTGACCATCATCTGAAAACCAGTGGGACAGAGCATCCCCACTTCTCAGATGGACCAGACAGACCAGGGAGGCAGAGCTTAGTGAGGGTCTCTGCAAAGGTGCATTGATCTAAGTCAGATGGGTGACTTAAGTGCTTCTCTAGGCCCTGTGTTTGAGCTTCGGAGCTGAGCCAGAAACCAGAAAACCTTGGGCTCATGGGCAGGACAGCTTGGGGAGTTGAGTGTGAGTAAAAATCTCTGCATTTTCACATCTTACATTCCTAAGCCTCCTCTTGGTTTAAGAGGGGTTGCAACAAGAGTCGGGGCTGTTGGGGTAACTGCTCCAAGGGGGATTTACTCCCTCTACCACTCCGCCAGCTTCAGAGTACTTTCTCTGGCTGCAAATGGTGGAATCTGACTGCCTAGGTTAAGCGCAAAGGGAAGACTTTTGGAAGGAAAATACTGGCAAATCCAAGAAGTGAACCCGCTGACTTTAGGAAAGCCAGAAGCCAAGCTACTCTGGACCTTCTGCCTTCAGAGCATGAGGACTTCTCCCATTCATCCTTGTGACTGAGGCAAACACAGACAGGTCCAGGCATGGGCTCCAGGTTCCCTATTTCCAGAAGGAAATAGGGAATTGCTTTTCCCACTTGATGTATCTTGGAGCTTGTTCCTTATTCTTGATTATAGTTGTATGGTATTGCACTATCTGGAGCTACTGATTCCTTTAACTAGTCCCCTGTGGATGGACAGTTTGTTTCCAATTCCACCTGCCTACTTCTTAAGAGTTCACAGGGAAAACACATAGTAATTTCTGCAAAACTCAAGAGGATTCAAAACTGTAGGTCTGGGCCAAGTTTGGCTTGGGTAGGGTAAAACACCTGTGACCCACACTCACGTTTTAAAACAGTTTCTGCATTAGACAAAAATATTTAAAAGACAGGAGATTCAACTTCACAACCCAAATGTCTAGCTTCTCTTGAAAAAACGTTGCCGGGCGCAGTGGCTCAAGCCTATAATCCCAGCACTTTGGGAGGCCGAGACGGGTGGATCACGAGGTCAGGAGATCGAGACCATCCTGGCTAACGCGGTGAAACCCCATCTCTACTAAAAAATACAAAAAACTAGCCGGGCGAGGTGGCGGGCGCCTGTAGTCCCAGCTACTCGGGAGGCTGAGGCAGGAGAATGGCGTAAATGCGGGAGGCGGAGCTTGCAGTGAGCTGAGATCCGGCCACTGCACTCCAGCCTGGGCGACAGAGTGAGACTCCTTCCAAAAAAAAAAAAAAAAAAGAAAGAAAAAACGTTAAGAACTGGCCATGACAGCCTGTGTTTCTATGTAACTATGAGCCAGAGCCAAGAAGCAGGGGGACCAGGAGAGGTGTGCCCCTGCCATGCTGCCATTTGTTGTCACCTGCCTATCACAGGTTCATTTCAAGGCAAGAACCATGTTCATAGGTGGTATTCTAAATGGAGCGGCGTGCCCTCACTGAAGGACTAGATGAGGTAAATAAAGACTAGTTGCTACTATTCATTCATTCAGCTAACATTTATTGAGCCCTTAATGAACACAAGAGTTTTGACTTCATGACAGTTCATACTGGGACCTCAGACCACTGAAGGCAGACAGTAACGAGCAGTGCTGGCCAGGCCCCACTTTCAGAGGGGGTGGAAGGTCACTCTTGACACATGTCATATATGGTAAGAGGGGCACCCACTCACCCAGGCCTGGTGCAGGACTCTGCAAGGCCCTCCTGAGTAAAGAGCGGCCACAAAGGGCTGCTAGGCAGCACCCACTCTTGGAATCAAGCAGGGAAAAAGCGCAAAAATGGAGCTGGCAGGGAGGTGTGTGCCTGCCCCACAGATGGCTGTGGTGAGCCACAGAGCACCAAGATTCTGTTCTTCATTCAGCAACCACCCATGAGCCTCCTGGTTTATTCCAATCCCATGGCACCTGCCTGAAAACCTCTCTCCCCTCTGAGGGGAATGCTGGAATGAAACTCTACTCTGCCCCTCCCTCCCTCCCTCCTTGCTCAGGGTCCATGTGAACAGCAGGCCATTGTTGGGAAGTGCCTGTTGCAGTCATTCTTACACCCCCACAGCCACTGCCCCACACACCCACTGATGGCTACCAGGGCCCATCAATAGATCTTGTGTCCACTGAGCCCTGGTGTCCAGGTCCAGCAGCCAGATAGGCTGAAGGTTCCCTCCTGCCATCACAGAGTAGCCAAGCACTACAGACAAAGAGGTTTTCATGGCCAGATGCCTGACGCCTGTCCCCTTACAGGGCAGATCCTGTTCTTACAGATGTCAAGGTTGGAGGGTTCTGGGTCCTTCATGACCCTGGGGGGTTGCTGGTCCCCCATCTTGGTTCTTGAGTCTCATCCTTTTAAGATGACCTTGAGAGCTTTAAGCTCATCCTGGTTGAGGGGGTTCAAGTTAAAACCCTTCAGCTCCGGTTTGCCTAGGAGAGAAGATGATCCATCAGCATGTCAGGCCTCCTGCTGGCTCTGGAACCAGGCCCAGGAAAGGGGCTGACGCTGCACTAATGCTGCCAAACTTGGCCTGGAGGTCTGGCAGGGATGGGCCTCCAATTCTGCAATGCACCAGATGAGGCATCACCACCACTCCTGTGTCACCAAGAACCTACAAAGTCATGACTCTGCTGTCTCAAATTTTTACAAGACCTGTGACCAATCTAGAGTGCTTGTGTTTATCAAGAATTTCAGCTCTGACCTCAATCACTCACTGAAGCCTTCTGAGTTTCCTCAGTCGGAGCTATCTGATCCCCATGCCATGCCCTGATGTATAACGTGAGATCACCCCAAGCGGTTCCTGGGACCTGGAAAAGAAGCTGTGACAGGACTAGGACTCTATAAATTCCCGTCCATTCTGTCCCTGGGCAGCTACAACCAACCACTGTGCATACCTCCAGGGCCACTCACAGGCTGCCCCGGCCACTGCCCACCTCTGAGGGTTGGGCTTCCCACCCCTGCCCTTCAAAGTCCATGCTGATGATTCTCTTCCCTCCTCGTCTCCAGTCCCTGCTAGGCCAATACCTTGGGCCTCAAAAAGGCGGTTGACCTTCACTTTAAGTTGCTTCCGGAGTTTTTCTATTTCTTTATCCAGATGATCCTGATCTGAAAAAATGAGGGGGGCAAGCAGAGGATAAGATTGTACCAGACAGACTTGACCTCAGGAGTGGAGATGCCAGCCTCTCCCCAGCAAGGGCGTGTAGCTTTCAGGAAGGAAAAGGAGACATCAGAGGCCAACTGAGGAAGGATTCAAGGCTAGAAGGGACATGACCTGCTCAGGACCACTCAGAGAGCCCAGGACACAGCAGTCCCGACTTCCATTACACTGGCCTTTTTTGCATTATGCAAAGTACCTTGAGGTGGTCAGTGGACAGAAAAGGCAACATCAGGACTTTAGGCCGCCCTCCCACAATGAAATTATGGAAAACTCCAATGCACAAACAAAGAAGCATCTCTAGATTCAGCCCACCCTAGATGGCTAGAAAATGGATGCCTAAGAAATTTTACAAACCCGAGTCCATCAAGGTGGGGGGGTTTTAGAAAAATATGATTGTGTGAACATGTGACGTAAACAATCAACACGAAAGCCTAATGCTCAGGCTTAACTTAATTAGCCACTGTGAACAGAAAAGGGTCTCCTAGTGTCCTGGACTGCCCCTGAGAAAAGTCAGTGTGATGACAGAGGTGGCTATCAAAGCCTCATTGACCAATCAACTGAAGTCACCCAGCCAATTCTACCTGCTCACGAGTGACATTCTGGCTAGTCTGTCTCCCCACAGACTCACTCTTTCTGACGGGGAGAAACCCTGAATGGCCAAGTCTTATAGCCTGGTTCTATTTCTCATTGTGAATGAGTAACCCCAGTGTCCATGAGCTTGTTTAGCCTGTGTTGATCCCCAAGAAACCTGATGATGTCTCAGAACCCCTCTAGGTACGGTGACAAGACCACATTTGGGGACCAAAAGAGCCAACAAGATCCTCAACCCAGGCAAGGGACCCCTCTGAAAGCTTAGTCTACAGCCCACCACCAAGTGCAGTTTAATTTTATAACCATATTATTACTGTATTTTTTCAACACAACAGTTGGAAACTTCTCCATGCTGGATATAGCTTTCTCTGTTAGTAGTTTTATGTAATTGGCCGGGAGCAGTGGCTCACGCCTGTAATCCCAGCACTTCAGGAGGCCAAGGTGGGTGGATCACCTGAGGTCAGGAGTTCTAAGACCAGCCTGGCCAACATAGTGAAACCCTGTCTTTACTAAAACAACACAAAAATTAGCCAGGCATAAAGGCATGCACCTATAATTCCAGCTAATCAGGAAGCTGAGGCAGGAGAATTGCTTGAACCTGGGCGGCAATGTTGCAGTGAGCCGAGATAGCGCCATTGCACTCCAGCCTGGGTGACAGAGCAAGACTCTGTCTCAAGGAAAAAAAAAAAGAAGTTTTATTTCATGAGGTGTGAAGACACCCTATCTTCAGGGACTGAGTCAACCTGGCTTGTCCTTTTGGCCATTTTCAAGGTTATGGAAGAAAAAATATGTGTAGCCTGTTCTTTTTCTAGCCAATAATCCATTTGTAGCCTGACTTGCTTTAAGATGCTTTTCCAAAGAGCTTCCAGATTATGGCTGTGGAAACTGAGTACGCTGAGTGCCCAAGCTATGGCAGACCCTAGACGTTTACTCTCCCCAAACCTCCATATTCAACCCAGTCTCTATTGCAGGGCATGTGAAAAAGAAAAGTTCACTCTCCCGGGCTCTCTTGCAGCTATGGGTAACCATGTGACTTAGTCTGGCCAATGAGATGTTGGCAGGAAGTCCCTGAGGAGATGGCCTCACTTCCAAAATAGAAGGCAAAGCTCTATGTGGCAAAAGCCTTCTGTCTTTCCTCCAGCCTGGCATAAGGACATGAGGACATGAGGCCTGCAATGATGAAACAACAACCAGGAGAATATGCTAAGGTGCCACTGCTGGGCAGCTATGCCAGGCCTGGACTACACACCTCTGGACAATTTCTTATGCAAGAGTAAAAGAAGCATATTTCCTTAAGCCTCAATTTGTTTGGTTTTGTTAGTTGCAGCCCAACTGATTCCTCACTAGTAAGAAAGCACTATGCTAGGCACACATAGTGTTTTACCTCAACTTCACAGCTGTGCTACATAGACACATTCCCCTCTTAGAAATGAGGAAATAACCCACAGTGGCAGAAGTGGAATTGAAACCCACAGCAGTCTGAACCCTGTGACAGAGCTGCCTCTCCTCCAGCTGCCTGAAGCCTGACTCCCTGTTCTGGGTTAAGACCAAAGCTGGTGGAAGAGGCAGCACATCCCTGACCCATCCCCAGGAGGCCTTACCTTTTTCAATCATTTCCTTTGTCTCAGGGTGAGGCATCTTGATAAACATGTTCCCAAAGCAAACCATCACATCTTCTGAAAGAGCAAATGGTAATTCCTTCAACAATTTTTTTTTTGAGTACCTATTATCTGCCAGGCATTATTTTAGATACAACACAGCAGAACAAGACAAAGTTCCTGCCCTCTTGGAGCTTATGTTATAGTGGAAGAGAGAGAATAAACAAAGATAGGATTTTTCACACCTCGATTAAAAGTTGTAGAGAAAAATAAAGCAGGCTAAGATGGCTAGGCAATGCCAGAGGAGGACCTTGTTACTCATACCAGGTAGTCCGAGAAGGCCTTACTGATTATACGATATCTACGTAGAGACCCAAGGAAAGTGAGAGTGGGAGCACTGCAGACATCTGGGGAAAGAGTGAGCCAAACAGAGGAAACAGGAACAGCAAAGATCCGTAGTGTGCTTGGGGTGTTCAGAACAGCAAGGGACCAGGCGCAGTGGCTCACGCCTGTAATCCCAGCACTTTAGGAGGCCAAGGCAGGTGGATCACTTGAGGCCAGGAGCTCGAGACCAGCCTGGCCAACATGGCGAAACCCTGTATCTATTAAAAATACAAAAATTAGCTGGGCGTGGTGGTGCATGCCTGTAATCTCAGCTACTCAGGAGGCTGAGGCACAAGAATCACTTGAACCTGGGAGACAGAGGTTGCAGTGAGCCGAGAACACGCCACTGCACTCCAGCCTGGGTGACAGAGCAAGGCTCTGTTTCCATATACATAAATAAAGTAACAGCAAGGAGACCAGTGTGGATGGAGTCATGGGGGGCGGGGCAGGGGCAGAGATGATATTGGCACACTCATGGATTCACGGGGGCTGGATTACTCAGTCTTGCAGGACCTCTGGATTTTACTCAGATGAGATGAGAAGCAACTGGAAGATTCTCCACATTCTAGTGCACTTTCAACAAAATGTAAACTTCCTCCCTTATCCCCCAAGACCTTTCATTATGGCCTGGTCTCTGCCCCTCTCTCCAGCCATACTTACTCCCCATCTGCTTCCTCTGCCACAGCCACTCGGCCTCATCTAAAGGGTTCCCATTCTTCCAGATATATATTCTCAACACCCACCCCAAGTCCAATTCCATCTTTGGCTTTCTTACAACTTTCAATTACACATTTTACGTTGTTTTCCTCATCTGTAAAGCACAAGGGCAGGAACCATCAGTTTCATACATCCCCAACACTCTCTCAGTGTGCCATTGTTGCTAAGCCAGGAGCTAACAACCAGTCACTGAAGTGAGCAGGCAAAATCCTGAACCACAGTTTGTGCCAGAACTGCAAAATTTGCTCCCCCATCTCCTCAGACTGTTTCAATTTCCCACAAGGCTGTTATACAGCTGTGACCTCCTGCCTGATCTCTATCAGGGACAAGGTAAAGGCCTTAAAGGAAAATGGAACAGGCCTCCAGGGCTGCACTGAGAAAATTTCAACTTACCAGAGAGGCTGAGATCCTTCTGCAGGGCCCTCAGGCCCTCTCGATTCTGATTCCTTTTAGTGTCCAGGTCCACAATCTGAAAACCACAGGGACAGGAGGGAACTCAGCTATCTCTTGCCCCAAGCTGTCACCTCTTGACAGACAACAGCTGCAGAGACAATGAATTATTCCTGGTTACATCCAATGTCCTGCCTAAAATGGATTGATGTGTGAATGTATTTCTTCTCTCACTCAGCTTCCTGGTCTGAAAGACAATGCTGTGTGCAGCTGCCCTCTGCCCAGAGAAGATGCTGGGAAAGCATGTGCTGACTAAACGGGAAATTCTGCATTATCCACTCGAACTTTAGGGCATGTCAGAATCACCAGGGGAGTGGAAACCCTTCCCCTACACACTGTGATTAAGCAGGCCTAATGTTTATTTTTGGACAAACTTCTCCAGCTGATTCTGAACTAGTAATATGAGAAACCCAACAGTACTAGATTGGAACAGCAGGATTGGGGGCACTGAGACAGTGGTAACAACACAATAGCTACTAAGGAAGTGAAGCAGTAGTACAGTATACTGCACGAGAGTGCTGGTTCTGGAGCTGGAATACCCAAGTTCGAATCCTGCTGTCTGCCTCAAGCTGTGTAATTTCACCTTCCTATTTACTCCTCCTCAAAATGGAGCTACAAACAGTACCTACCTCACAGGTTATTGAGCCAGCAATTAAATGACTTAACACAGTACCTGGCACATAGTAAGTAGCTGATAAACTTTATTTATTTATTTATTTTTACTTTTTTTTTTTTTTTTTTGAGACGGAGTCCCGCTCTTTTGTCCAGGCTGGAGTGCAGTGGCGCACTCTCGGCTCACTGCAAGCTCCGCCTCCCGGGTTCATGCCATTCTCCTGTCTCAGCCTCCCGGGTAGCTGGGACTACAGGCGCCCGCCACCACGTCCGGCTAATTTTTTGTATTGTTAGTACAGACAGGGTTTCACCGTGTTAGCCAGGATGGTCCTGATCTCCTGACTTCGTGATCCGCCCGTCTCAGCCTTTCAAAGTGCTGGGATTACAGGCGTGAGCCACCGCGCCAGGCCTGCTGATAAACTTTAAGTGCTCTTATTATTCTCATCCAGCACACCCTGATCCAGTATTTAATTTGACAGATTCTTGCCCAAGTTTTCCCCTTCTCAGTAAATACCTGACCCTTCTAACTGGAGATGAGAGGGAGTCACGACTCCCGTGGCTCCCTCACCCATTTACACAGCCACTATCACGGCCTACTGAGTCTGTCTCCAAAATATATTTCTGACCCCTTCACTTCTCTCCACCACCACTACCTAGTCCAAATCCATCTCTGGTCTGAACCATAGCAATGGCCCCTCACCCGTCTCCCTGCCTTCACCCTTGCCCGCCTATATTCTGTATTCCACACAGCAGCCGGGGGATCCTTTTAAAACCTAAATCCAATTACGTCACCCTCCTTCCCCAAGGAACTCCCTTCTAAAGCTTGGCACTTAAATTAGAGCCTGACCCAAACCCCCTACAAGGCACCCCATAAACAGGGCGCCACCTTCCCCCAGGTCCCCACCCCCTCCCAGTCACAAGGCCCCCTCAGGCCTCTTTTCGGTTCTAGCTCTCCCCGAGGGCCTTTACAGGGCGGTGCCCCCAGATCAACCATGGGGCCGGGAAGTGCATTTTGAAACAGGTGCTCAGGAAACCGCCCAGAGCATGATGGGTCGAGATCGAGAGAGCATGGCAAGGGGCAGAGAAAAGATGAAGAGCGAGGAATGACCAGCACAGCGCAGGCGCTCGCTTAGTAGCGGCCGAATATTTATTGGCCCACGTCTGTCGCCTCGGAGCCGTTAACCGCCTGTCCGGGTCAACTCTCCGCGACCCCGCGGGCTTTCCGACGGCGCCGGCCGCCAGGCCCCAGCGCCGCGGACGGGCCTCTCACCTGCCGCTTGTCCGCCAGCACCTCCTCGGCGAGCTCCTCCACCTCTACCAGGTACCGCAGCACTCGCTCCGCCTCGGGCGAGAGCATACCGCCCACCAACTCCTCCTGCGGCTGTCGTGCGACCCCGGGGGTCTCCGTTTAGACTCCCGCTGCGCATGCGCCGCTCTCAAGGGGCTTCCGGCGCGCCTGCGCAGTTAAAAGAACGGTGGTGCGCAGGCTCCAACGCTCGTGCGCCAGCCGGCTGCGAGAGGCGGGGCCTAGCTTTGGGGGCGGGGCTGGAGCGCCCTCTGCAGGCTCAGAGAGTTCAGTCCGTGGGTTGTCTCTGAACCCCTCGGTTCACACTTCTTGAGCGCTTACTATGTGCCAACCAGTTTTAGGTGCTTAGGATGCAGCAGTGAGCACAACAAAATCCTTGCCTTCATGGAACTTCATTCCAGTGGGAAACACCGACAATTAATGGCAGGTAGTGATCAGGACCTGGGAAATATGATTCTTCCCCTGGCTAAGAAACACCAAGAAGGCCCATGTGGCAGTGTGACTTATGTTTAATCTCTGACACTTTCAGTTTCTAATTTATAAAAAGGGGATGAATAAAAATCCGCCTCAGTGTTTCTCCACAGAATCGGAAGGAAGTAGGAATCGGCTGGGCGCAGTGGCTCATGCCTGTAATCCCACTTTGGAAGGCCAAAGCCCGGGGGGAATCACTTGAGCCCACGAGTTAGAGACCAGCTTGGCCAGCACAGTAAAACCTCCGTTTCCACTAAAAATAAAAAATAAAATTAAAAAAAATTAGCTGGGTGCGGTGGGGCGCGCCTGTTGGTCCCAGCTACTCAGGAAGCTGAGGTGGGAGGAGCACCTGCACCTGGGGAGTGGAGGCTGCAGTGAGCTCTGATGGCACCACTGCACTCCAGCAGTAATCACTTTATCACTTTTAATTCCATTTAACCAGAGTTCACTTGAGCCCCTGTGTTGGACCCAATGCCCAAAGTAACTGGCCTATACATAAGGAACAGACTTGAAAACTATGGGCAGTAAGCAATGAAATGGTAGCTCAGAAAAGCAAACGGGTGTGGGTTGTAGGATTGGTAGGACTTCCCAGAGGAGGCAGGAAGATGGAAAATGGTTACCATCAGAACCAGAGAGTTCCCACGAGGTCTTCATGCCCAAACTCCTCATTGGATAGCTGGAAAAAAAACAGAACTCAGAGAGAGGTAAGGCTTTGAAAAGAAGGTGAGGGGTGAGCCATGTGGATGCCTAGGAGAAGAGTGTTCCAGGCAGAGGGAACAGCCAGTGTATGTGGAACAGAATGGGCAGGGGGAAGCAGGCAGGAGGTCAGAGGGGAAGGAGGCATTGAGCCCACAGGGCTGTAAAAGGCGCTGGGAAAGGACTTTGAAAGTCTAAAGAGCAGAACTGGTATTATCACTCTGATCTTTTGCCTCTCTGACTCCAGCTTCTTCTTCTCTCCTTTTGACCTCTTGTAACCCTTCACACCCCTTGCCTTACTTGAGTGTCAAAGCAACCTTTGTATGGATGGGATTATTACTGCCCCATTTCACAGCTGCAGACTGAGGCCATGAGAAAGGCAGTGCCTCATCACACAGCAAGCCAGGAGTGCCTGGTGTCCATGCCATTTCTGGACCCTGAAAAAACCCTCCCCAAAAATTGTGGCCCCAGAAGCCCCAGCAGCACCTCTGTGTTGCCTAGCCTTTGGCTGCCTTCAACTACCAGAGGCAGAGCTAATTTTTCCTTCAGCCACCTGGTGTGGGGAAGGAGGGAGATTCATTAAGGATTCCTCACTGAGGGTGAATTTGTCGCCAAACCCAGGATGTTTTGTATAAACACCTTCTGGTTCAAAAATGCAGACACAGGCCCTGAGAAGGAAAGGGGGATGTTTGCCAAAGCAGAAATGGGGCTCACCAGGCATCCCTCGGCCTGGACCCCAGAACTGCGTCTCCTCTACCTCAGGACCCACAGAGGGCTGGACCACGTTGACCCTTGACCCCTACCAGATGGGCCTGGATGGGGAGAGGCTGAGAGAGGCTCCCAGATTAGCAGCTTCTTGGTGGTGACTGGCCCTTAGAGGCCACCCCTGGCCACTGGAAATGTTGGGGTGGGGAATCATAGTCATTTCCAAGACTTTGAAATGGTCAGACTCAGAAAGACTCTCGGAGAGCATTTCAGTTTCAGAACCATTTATTTCACAATTATTTATTGACTTCCCAGGCCCTGTGATAGGGATTCTGCCATGAGCAAAACTGGACATGGTCCCTGCCCTCAGGAATCTCCCAGTCTGGTGAGAGAAACAAACAATCAACATACAAACAAGTAAATATATGTCAGGTGGTGAAAAGTGCTACCAGAAAAATAGCAGCCTGATGTGGGGGCTCACACTTGTAATCCCAACACATTGGGAGGCCAAAGTGGAGCATCACTTGAAACCAGGAGTTCGAGACCAGCCTGGGCAACATAGCAAGACCCCCATCTCTACCAAAAAAATAAAAATAAAAAAATTAGCCAGATGTAGTGGTGTGTGGCTGTTGTCTCAGCTACTCAGGAGGCTGAGGTGGGAGGATCACTTGAGCACAGGAGTTCAAAGCTGCAGTGAGCTACAATCGTGCCACTGTACCCTAGCCTGGGTGACAGAGTGAGACCTTTTCTCTAAAAAAGGAAAGAAAAGAAAAGAAAAGGAAAGAGAGAGAAAGAAAGAAAGAAAGAAAGAAAGAAAGAAAGAAAGAAAGAAAGAAAGAAAGAAAGAAAGAAAAGAAACAAAGAAAGGAAGGAAGGAAAGGGAAAGAAAGGAGGGAGAAAGAGGGAGGGAAGGAAGGAAGAAAGGAAGGAGAGAAAGAAAAGAAAAGATAGCACAGGACAAGGTGGAGAGGCAATAATGGAGGGGCCATTTGAGATAAGATGGTCAGAGAGGGTGTCTCTGAGGAGATGGCATTTGAGCAGAAGTGTGGAGGAGATGAGGGGGTGAGCCTTGTGGATATCTAGGGGAAGAGCGTTCCAGGCAGAGGGAACCGCCAGTGTAATATTTGAATAGAATTAGTGAGGGAGGGAGGGTAGGACAGAGAGGAGAAGGAGACATTGAGCACACAGGGCTGTAGAAGGCGGTGGCAGAGCCCCACCCAAAATCCACTAGGGCCTCCCCAGAGGTCATCTGCAGACACTGCTGCATATGCCTGTGGCTTCCTGCTTCCTCTGCTCATGGATGCAGGTTGAGAGGGGAATGCAGTGAATTAATATCCACGAGTGTGAACTCCTACCGAGAAAAGAGAGGCGTTAGTGACTGTATACTCTAGCTTCTTTGCCCCTCTGTGGGAGACCCAAGAGGAGGCTGCTATAATCATCCAGGCAGGAGAGGGTGGCCACTGCACCAAGAGACAGCAGTGGGGTTGGTGACCAGTGGTGGGATTCTCAGGGCCTTTGCACATACTCCCCCATCGGTCTAGATTAATTTTCTCCCATGCCTTTATTCATGTGTAACTATTCCATAGCCCCCACTGCTCAGCTTGGGGTTACCTCCTCCTGAGGGTCGAGTCCTCTCTGGGCCCCCACAGTTTCTTGGACTTCCCTCATCTCTGCACTTCCCATACCACCTTTGTTCTCTAAACACCTCGCTTTGTAGTCGTGAGCTCCCCAGGGCAGAGACCTTGTCTGTCTTGTTCATTGGAAAAGTGTCCCCCTCTCTGGGTCTTCGACTACCTCCCTGCTGCTGCTCACACAAGCCAGGCATGGTCCTGCCTCAGGGTCTTTCGATTGGCTGCTGCCTCCGCCTGCACTTTTCCCTGATGTCTACATGGTTCCTTCCCTCACCTCCTACTAGTCTTTTCGTTTTCTTTTCCTTTTTTTTTTTTTTTTTGAGATGGAGTCTCACTCTGTTACCCAGGCTGGAGTGCAGTGGCACAGTCTCTGCTCACTTCAACCTTTACCTCCTGGGTTCAAGTGATTCTCCTGCCTCAGCCTCCCAAATAGCTGGGATTACAGGTGTGTGCCACCATGCTCAGCTAATTTTTGTATTTTTTTAGTAAAGACAGGGGTCTCACCATGTTGGCCAGGCTGGTCTCAAACTCCTGACCTCAGGTGATTTGCTTACCTTGGCCTCCCGAAGTGCTGAGATTACAGGCATGAGCCACCGCGCCTGGCCCAGTCTTTTCTTAAATGACACCTTCTCAGTGGAGCCTGCCCTGACCACCATGTTTAAAATGCAACTTCTGCCCCTCCTGCTACTCCTGATCAACTTCCTCTGCTCTAGTTTTTCTTTTTCTTTCTTTTCATCATAACTTTTGTCACCTCCCAGCTTGCCATATAATTTACTTATGGTTGTTGTTAGTCTCCCTCTGCTAGAAGAGAGGCTCCTTGAGGGCAGGAATCTTTCATTCATTTCTTCACTGATGTCTCCCAAATGTCTAGAACAGTGCCTGGCTCCCACAGTAGGTGCTTGATAAACAATTTTGAATGAATGAATAAATGAATGAATGAATGAATGAGGAGAAGAGTCAGAATTCTACTTAAGGCAGATTCTCTCTGAGGCCAGACTCTTAAAGGTGAGGCCTGGGATCGTGCCTTATCCACTAATGTAAGGGGACTGGTTTGTTCTCAGATCCTGAGAAGCTGCTGGAAGGTGCTGAGCAGGCACAGATATGATTGGGTTTACCTTGTGAAAGCCCCGCGTGGCTCTGGTGATAGGATGGGTGAAGAGGGGCAAGTGCAGTGCATTCCTCTGAGATATGTGTGTATGTGTTGAGGGGGTGGGAGGGTGAAAATGGGGGCTTGGGGAAGTGACAGGGCTGGAGCTGCACTAAGAGAGCAGTGAGAGGAATCCTTTTAATGTCCAGATTCTCCAAGCAGCCTGGGTGGCTGCCCTACCAGCTCTGGCTGGGCCTCCCAGCTGCTGACAACATGCTCCTGTCCTGCAGATGGGCTGTGTGCTCACTTGGGTGGTCCTCAGCTCCTCCCTCCACTTCCTTTGCACCCCTGTGGGCTTGGCTAGGGTAGAAGAGATGCTTCCACCCTGTCTCCTCCCCAACCCGGAGAATAATCCCTTACATTCATGTGATTCTCTTTGCGCCCTCACTTCATCCTCCCACATCCCTGGGTAACACAAAAATCTGAATCCCATTGGGCAGATGAGGACATTGAGGTCAGGAAAGGGGATGGGACCCTCCCAAGGTCATGCAGCCAGATGGGGACACCAGGTGGGGACATGTCTCCCAG